CTTACGCCCTCTGCTGAGCATAGGAGGAAACGTTTTGTTTTGTCTTTTATCAGCCAATTAAACTTTTGTCTTAGTGGATTAGAATATTATGGAAAAGTTCATTCATTTCAGTAACTTATTTCACGAAGTGATATACGCTATGTGCAGTAATTACACACAGGCTGATGTTTTCAAGCATTTATTTCCATTAATTAGAATGATTATCTGCTTACAGCCAATGAAAACACATTTGACATTAGAATATTACATAAAAAAGCCCATATTTATATATTTTTGTAATATATAAAAAGTGAAAAGTGCAATACTTGCTTGAATATTATGCTTAAAATGTAACCTTAATCTGAATTTTTAGCCTAATCAGAACCCATATGTCAGCTTGAATATGACCATAAGAACCAACTTCTATATTATGTTTAGACGATTGAAAAAAAATACTTACTTTCCCATGAAGTTTACATGATGTACTTTAGCAAGGTACGATATTTTCCTCTCTTTAGGAATGGAATGAAAACAAATTTATTATTATTTTTTTTTTAATTGGAAGTGTGACATGTTGTATTTAGCCTTCTTTACTCTGGCACCCTTAAAAACAATTACATTTTACTTTCAACAAATATGTACCACTTTGTGTGGGGTTGGGGTATAAAATCCCAATAAAACAGATTGAAGTTTATCATTGTAACATTGATCAAAACTTTCAAGGATTATAAATACTTTTTGCACAGGATGGTATTGTCATTTTCAATGCTCATTTAGAGATCAACGCCTTACCTTTTGCTAAGTTCATTGGCGTTATGAATTCGATTTATTTATTTTTGTCCCTAACTCAATCTTGGGATTTCCGTCCTCACCTTTTCATTGTTCCTCATACCAACTTCTGACAGAGATATCATGTGGCAACGCCGGCGATCTCCCCAATGGACACTTCCGCTACGAAGGTCAAACGTACGTTGGGGAGAAAGTTTATGCCGAATGCAACGAGGGGTAAGCTTTTCCTGAAACAACTTTTGTAAGATGTAAACATTGTGGCATATATTAAACTGTATCTCCATGCTTACAGATACATGCTGAAGGGAATGAGCTACATGATATGTAAGAGGTCTGGGTGGACTGGTGAATTCCCATCATGTGAAGGTAGGCGACTGTGTGTTTAAATTCCACAATTATGAAATGACTCCCTGCAATTGCAACAGGATGAAAAGCAACTCTGTATGGGTGGGGATTATGATACGGATTAACCGAAACTTTAATACGACGAGAAGTGACATCAGCTCATCTAATCCCCTAATTGTTTTGTGCATTTTTTTTCCATCTTTGTAAGAGCTCATCAGTTAGTCATTTTTGATTTAATCATAAACGTCTTGTGCTGAATAAGGTGTGTTACTGAAGAGGTTATTATACCACTGTTTCCACCGCACTCATTTCCCATCTGAAGTGAGCAGTTACCATTAAAAACTAAAAACACAAACCTATAAAACAAAATCCCTTAATAAGTATTCACATTAATCCATTTTTCCATGTTGCAACCACTCACTTCAGTATATCTTAATAGGATCGTATGTGAAGTAGAAAAAAATAGATACATTGAATAAAAATCTGAAAGTATTAAGTGCATTTGGATTTACCCCCCACTTATTCTGAGGCACATAAAGGAAATCTAGTGGCACCAATTGCTTTATTGCAGCTGCACATTGCCATTACTGTTGCCATGGTGACACATGGTGGCAGCATAATCTCTTTTATTTTTTTTACAGAGATAGGGAAGTGACTCATAGTTGATCTGAAGATATTTGGAGCTAAATAAAGGGAAATCTTTGAAGAAAACCTTTTAAAAACTGAGGCTCTTGTTGACTATTACAAATGTTGGGTTAAGTTACAAAGATAAATGAACAAGAATATCGTCTTCCCACGGCTGGAAAAGACATATCTGCTGTTGAACTTCTTTGGATACGCCCCACAGGGTTCATTAATCAGTCATAGGACAAGTCTCGTTATGTAATATATATTTAACATGTTAAAAACACAATTTGCTTTAAAGTTTACACAATAAAAACTTCCGTGCTTCCTTCTTTGCTGAGGCTAATTACCAGTTCAATTGTCTCACCAGAGAAAGAAACGACGTGCTCCAGTCCAGTAGTGAACAACTCAGTGAAGAGTGGCAGAGAGGTTTCAGTTCACCATGTTGGAGACACCATGAACATCACCTGTAGCACTGGTTTCCAGTTGGATGGAGCACAGCAGATCACCTGTGGGTCCGATGGCCAGTGGAAGCCGAAACTCCCTCAGTGTTTACTGTTCCCTGATGCAAGGCCTGGTAAGCACATATGATATTTCTTAAGCAGTCATATAATCTGTTTTAGTAATTGGCCATCATCCATCCCTTTTTATCTGAAAGATCTACTCCCACAGTCTATCTTTGAGGGGGGAAAATGTAGATATTTAAATTCTTGTGTTTTTATAGGGGCATGATATCAATGAAATAGTTTTACCAGGATCCAAAATCGTTTAAATCCATTTTGAAATGTACTAAAACATTATTTCCCACTGTCATTATTTCTTTTTACTGTACGCGGGTGTATGAAATTCAATTTGCTATTGTAAGATCAATGTGTCATCCCACCCTGTACATCTATACTAGCTTCAACTCTTCTGGAAAGTCTTTCCATAAGGTTTAGGAATGTGTTTATGGAAACTTTTGACCATTTTTCTAGAAGTGGGTTAGGACAATAAGGCCTTGTTCCCAGTTTCAATTTAATTAATCTTAGTTGAGGTCAGGACTTTGAGCTGGCAAATCAAGCCCTTCCACATCAAACTTGCCCCTCTATGTCTTTAACCTGTCATTCACGAGAGGACCCAAATCTGGGTCCTCTCATGACAGGGGTGTCAAACTCCAGTCCTCAAGGGCCGCTGTCCTGCAACTTTTAGATGTGCCTCTGCTGCACCACACCTGAAAAGAATAATTAGGTCATTAGCAAGGCTCAGGAGAACCGATCTACACAGGGAGGAGGTAATTAAGCCATTTCATTCCACTGTTTTTTACCTGTGGCACATCCAGACACTGCAGGACAGCGGCCCTGGAGGACTGGAGTTTGACACCCCTGTCATTGTGAATGACAACCTGTGAATGACAGGTTAAAGAGCTATCCACCCTCCGACTGTTCCCACAAAGTTGAGCAATGATGTCCAAACCACCTTGGAATGCTGGAGTTTTAGGTGTTTCTTTTCCTGGTACTGAGGAACCAAACCCAGTTCCTGACAGGCAGCTCCACACCATAATCCCTTGTGTCCCAACCTTACTGTTGACACAGAACAGTCAGGAAAGTCCTGTTCTGGCAAGTGGTGAATCCATACTTATCCACTGGATTGTCAGATAAGCATGACTTGTTGCTCTTAGAACATGTCTGCTGCTATGGAGTCCAGTGGCGACCTATTTTACACTGTTGCCTGACATGGATTTTTGTGAATGCAGGAAGATGTGGATTAAATGCAGCTGATATTCACATGGCTTTATTCAACATTATCGTCACCATTAACTGTTCTCCTAATATCTTAAAGTCTGACTTGGATTTAACTCTAAAATACTTCAGTATACAGAGTTATACATGGTTTACTCAGTGATTCCTGAAGGATCCAAACCTGGTCCTCAGGTTTCACTGTCCTGCACGTCTCCCTGCTGCTGCACATCTGGCTTGAATAAATGGTTGATTGGCCATCTTCTGTCGCAAATAGATACATGCTAATGTGGTAATGCGGTCACTTATGCAGGTGTGCTTGGCTTGGGACCCCTGCTGTAGCAGCAGAACAAGCCCACATCACATAATGTGCTTGTATTCATGCATGTTATGAATTATGGTGTTTGTGCTATGTTCCCGGTTTTTGCCCGACATCGCTCCTTGGTCTCATGTGCCAAGGAAAGTTGTTACAGAATAAGTTAATAAAAAAAAAAAAAAATAAACATTTAATTTTGGGAAGCCTTCCAAAGAAGTCCTTCTTGTTCTTTCTGAAGCTGCTGTACCTTGTAATTTAACATATTCTTTCCAAGGTCTTCCAAAACGTCTGCTTTTATAGACGATCACTGATGATCACTTTTCCATCCACTGTCTTTTCATACACTTGATTTTTAAATGGTCACACTGGTAAAGACTAGATCAGGTTTTGTTTTGTGCTCTTATGCAATACGTTAGATGATTTTTATTTTTTTCCCATGACGTGAACTTTTCATCTCTTTAAATACACAGCGGGTGGATGTGATGCACCACTCATTGTCAGCGGCTCCAACGCCAACCTTGCTGACAAGTACATTACGATGACCTCGTTTTCTTCTGGCGACAAAGTCTACTACAGCTGTGATGTGGGATATATTCCAGTGGGTGGCAGCAGGACTCGCACATGTGACAATGGAAAATGGACGCCTCTGAAGCTAAGATGTGAACGTAGGAAAGTTTACATTTAATATCCAAGCCATTTTTCCCAAGTCTTATGTATGCTTCCAGAATACTTAAAGTACTGAATAATCACGTAAAGCTGTAAAAAAGAGAGTGACTCCTCATGAAAGCTTTTGAAATGTTCCCAAAGACTCGTTTTTGAAATTCATGAAAGTATTTATAACTGTTCGGGAGAAAAAAGTGACTGAATGTTTATAGTACTTCAGTTTGCAAATTTGTGCTTATGATTTATAAATTTATAAATCCGAAGCTTCCTCAGTTGAAGATATTTTTAGGATCATTATGTTGCTGGTTAACTGCTTGACTGACAGAAATCAGCTCTTAAGTTTTGAACCTTGTCTTTACTTTAAAATGATCCTGGAAAAAAAACAAAAACAATCAGCAAGTTTGTCATGAGCCAAAGAGGTTATCATACCTCTTAAATCAGACAAACACACATTGCTATTTGTTGTATTGAGGTTAAATGTGAAAAGGTTCACTCATTCACCCTGCGTAACATTACTGTATTGTTTTGTGTAAAAAGGAAAGCTGTGTGGCCACGCTGGAGAAATTTCAAACGGACAGTTCACCTACACTGGCGTAGAGTTTGGAGACACAGCCACAGCTGTGTGTAATGAGGGGTGAGACAAACAGTCCCTGCAATATGGTGTTTCCTTATCTCCCATTGTTCTTTCCACTTTAGGAATTGACTTTTTGATTGATCTCTCACCAGGTTTATACTCGTAGGTCGGGCCACCAGGTACTGCATGAGCAACGGCTGGGACGGTCGTCCTCCTGTCTGTGAAGGTGAGGCCTGCTAACTCGCCTGTCCATTTGGTACCTGTTGCTGATACTTGGAATCATCTCAGAGCTCTTGCACACCCTGCAGCTGTCGAGTGTCAGGAGCCAACAGAGACGAACGCTCAGAGGAGAAATGTCCAGGAGCCGCCATACACATTCAGGAATGTGATTCGCTATGGGTGCCCAGTGGGGAGCCTGGTGGGATCGAGGGAGATCTGGTGCACCGACAACGGGACATGGAGCTCGCCTCCTCCACAATGCAAAGGTCTATGATCATGATCTGTCACAGAGTTTTAGGCAACTATCTGCAGTTTATGCCCCACTCCTTATAGTTAAAATTACAAAATCTCTTTTGTCTTCACAGCTGTAAGATGTCAGTCACCAAATGTTCCCAACGCCTTCTGGATTAACTCTCACAAAAAAACGTATCGCCCCATGGAGACCATCAGTTCGTTTAAATGCAAGTCTGGCTATACTTTTACTGGACCAGCACACATCACCTGTGGCAGTGGGGGCCAATGGTTGCAGAGGCTTCCAAAATGTCTTCCCGGTAAGTACACTCTTCTCTGTGGCATGAAAAACTAATATGCATAAAATAAAGCTCAGCAAAACTAAAGTAAATATTTTGTTAACACAAGCTGAAAAAGTGAAACTGATAATGATTCACTACGCACAGACTAATATATTTCAAACATTTATTTATGTAAACTTTGAATTATAGCTAATAAACCACATTTTTAGACCAAGATTACCAATGTAAAGAGAACTTTTAAGTCCCACTGAATGAATTACTGCATCAACAGAGAAGCATGAAGGTGGTTGGTCTGTTGTTCTGCCGAGGTTTTAAGGAAGTCCAGGTGGCTTTAATAAGAGCCTTCTACCCGTTTCCATCATTGGCTTTGGCATCTCATCTTCCTCTTAATATTAATATAAAAGCAAATCTGAGAATCTACATATTGGATGTTAATTAGAAGTACACCACATGCAACAAAACAGAGATGACATCTTGACATTTCACTCTGTGTGTAATGAATCTATCCGTTTGGCTCTTGACTTTATAAATACAGTATTTATTTATTTTTTCAGATATTCTAACTTTTTGAGATGTAACGTTACTACAGCAGGTGTTGGAACATTTGTCAGTAATGCCTTCAATCTTGTTTTATATTCCAGGAATGAGGAGGGGCTAATCTGCTGGCAAAAGTTTGATCTTATAATATTTAATCCAATTTCCACACACTCATTTATCAATACCTTTAACATAATCACGGTTAAAAATCAACCTTTAATAATTCACTGTTTAATATTTTTGCTCCTGTGTACAATCATTACAAACACATTAAATACGTCGAAAAGGAAGCTGAAGTACAGTATGTTTATTTTTAATAAGTGTCTTGGGCAGTAACAAGTGTAAACCTGTTTGATTCCCCTCTGTACAAAGTTGTTTTTGTCCGCCTTTTTTTTCTCCAAACTGCTGATAATGTATCATCTCTATAGACTAAACGGTGAGTGAGCATCTTATGAACAAACAAGCTACAAGAAAAAAAAAAGGAACACAAATTGCATTCATTTAAAAAGACAATACAAAAACCAGACATTTCTTTACATGAGCAATAACATTTCAAGTGCAAATATCATTATCAAACTCCAATACATCATAGCAAACTATTGCTTTAAAGGCAACACCTCAATAAAAACCAACAACAACAATAACAGGTTGCAGGAAAGAAGCTCTTTCTGGTAGGAAGAGAGGGGTGCATGTGGGTCACATGAGCGCACCAAAATAAGAGAATATTCTGTCTGATGTATAAGTGAAATGTGTATAGAAAGAATTATAAACTGATATAAGAGGTCTGACCCAACGATGCCCTCAGATTTGATAGTGAGGGCACATTCCCTTTGTTTAATCCAGTATGGTCCATGGGATATAGTGTCCTAACAAACTAATTTTTATTTACAAAAAATGGGGGGAAAAAAATACAGGAGGGCAAGTTTTCTTTCTCTTTATTAATGTCCAGGTCAGTGGATTTTTAGGGTCGAGTGTTGACTAAGCATTCATTCATTCATTGTTCCTAGGTTGTTTAAAGCGATGCTGACTAAATCTTGGGCTAAAGTTTTCCCACTGGGAGGAGCTCAGGAAGTGCCTGGTCATAAAAAAGTGACATTTACCCCAAACTCAACACACCAATTAATCTGTGTCTAAAGGTGATTTTTTTTATTTATTTTTTTTTTTAGAGGTGACAATTATGTTTTTGTACACACAGGGTTCCCACACAATCTGGAAAAAAATCTGGAATTGAATGGAAAATATTTGTCAGGTCTAAAAGTGTGTGTTTTCAGACTTTATCCCCCATCAGTTTCACAGTGGTATTCAACTCAGTATGTTTATTCAGCAATACTTCTTTTTTTTTTCAGGCAACATACTTTAAAATTGAACCAACAAAGAATAAAAAGTTTGGAACAGTGAGTCTGGAAAAGTATGGCATTTTGAGATAAATATGTGTAGGAAACCTGTGTCCAATACCAGACAAATCTTTTGTAAAATGTCATTTAAAAGGCAAATGAGAAAATTTCCTCAAACAGTAATTCTGGCTGAGGCTTATACAAGCCAGAAGTGTTAGATTTTTCTCTACACTTAAATTATTTTTACCCTGTTTAGTCACTCTTAAAATTTTTCACTGTACAAACCAAATTCTTACTTTTTTCCACATTTAGCTATTTTTACTTTTTTTTTTTCTTTCTTTCATTTACGCCTAAATAATTTCTGCCTATGATGAATTGATGATAATAGTATTAATAGATGATTAATAGTCTCAACAAGACCACAGCCCAAAACACATTTTTCAAATTTCCGTGTGGGTCGCAACTGAGCGGAACCATTTTTTTTTTCTTTTTTCATTGCACTTTAAAAAAAAAAAAAAAAAAAAAACAGAAGGGACGGTTGGTTCCAAATCTAGAGCAGGAAACTACTCGAGCTGCCCGATCTGAGCGGTCTTTGGATGAGCTGTCTTCATTGGGACAGGACACAGACCGAGTTGGGGGTGTTGAGTGTCTTTGGATTTGAGACTAGCAAGACCTCAGGGGCGGAGAAGCGACTGGATCTGGGAAGAAGTGTGCTGGACCTAAAAAATCAGGATTAAAGAGTTCAACCCTCGTCTAGATTAATCTCACTATTTACAAGACCAAAAACAAAAATAATTCGTAAATCCACAGACGAGTAATGAGAGATTATCAACTTAATGTTTGTAAAAGAAACAGAGCTATTATGGATTCTGAGCTTCCCTTTTTTTTTTAAACCCTACAGAATATTAGTATGAAGAGTACATGAGAAAGACAATGAGACTGAAGAATTAAAGTGACCTTTTTAAAAAGAAGCAGCAAACATAATGTCCCACAGAGACATTACTCTCACTCTCTGAAACATGTTTCCACCAGACATCACATCATCCCACCTCTCACGATCATTTATCTCCCGAATGTCCGCTGGGTTCTGTGGAATGACAAACCACACTTTCGTGTTTGCTTTGTAGTTGGTTTGGAACAACAACAACAACAACAAAAAAACGACCAGAAGGAATAACCCGGAGGTTGGGAAACACGGGTAACAGTCTAAACAGACGGAGCAAAACACGGTTGAACTGTTTTAACAGTTGGAAAAGGCTCTAAGAGCTCAAAAACACAGCCGGGCTTCAAAGGAGCTGGAAAACTCAGGATTCAAGCGACCGCTCCTCCTGGAGGACAGCGCTCAGACACCAACGATGGCACCAGAGTTGCACAACACTTTTACACAACACAGACAGTCACACTTAATGGTAAGGAACTGGAGCAAACACAATAACAAGCTCTATCAGGCTCAAACCGCACACACAAAACAACACTCCTACTGTCTGAAATAAGCTTTGTTTTGTTTTTTTCTTTCTTCTTCCTTATACGTGGTTCCGTTGCACAACACAACAGAAACCACTCGCATACTCAACATTCCCACTAAATGCTAGAGCGCAGGAATACAGACCTGGTAGACAGACAGAATAAACCTAAAGGGCAAACGGGGGTTACGACATGTCGGGCATTTCTCAGGTCTGCTGAGTGAAGTGTCTCGTAGGGTTTTGTGTTAAGAAGTCCTGGAAGAGTTGTGGCCTAAACGTTTGGCAGGGAATGTCGGGAGAGGAGTAGGGAGAAGGCGTGGGCCGGTCGGGTGGGTGTTGCAATCCGGTACCTCTTCTCTGCAGCTGCAGGCTTTTACTTGTATGGCCGCAGGAACGCTGACACTTTGCTGCTTATGAGACGGATGAAGGAGCGTGGAAGCATCTCGTTGGACTCCCGAGTGGTGTACTTAAAGTAGTGGTTTGGGTTGGCCAGCACATCGAAAAGAGTCTTAATCAGTTTTTTATCCTTCAGAGAAAAAAAAAAACCACACACAACAATCAGGTGTCAAACATCATTTCTGCATTAGTCAATTAAAAACTCCCTCATAATTGACCAGTTCTTTAGAAAAGTGTTGATACTCTTGAGTATTTTTCAAATTTTGTCACATTATTAGCACAGGACTTTGTTTTGTGAAGTGGCAGGAACATGGAAATCATTTTTACAGAAACACAGCTGAAAAGCGTAGAATGCGTGTTACTTCCAACCCCCCTTTACTCCGAATACAGCTCACAGAAAGCAGCTTCGTTTGGGATTAAAACCCCATTAATAAAAACTCACAGCTCAACTGAATCATCCTAAATCTGACAAACAAATGACTAACACCTAAAAAATGCCACAGACCTTCAGGATTTCTTGGTGGTTTTCCGAGGCGTAGAGTCTCCCATCTCGCACAATGTCTTCTACAAGCTGCTCATAGTCCTCTGAAATAAAAAAAGCGACACAAAAGATCATCAATGCAACCCGTCTGCAGAAGCCAATGCTGGAATCTGAGTCTCTTTCAGTCGAGATGCGAGCGTTAAAGTAATTTAAAGCATTTAATAAGTAAAGTAGCTGAGTTGATGCTATACCTCACTGCCCATAGAAGCAATACAATAACTCAAAAGATGGAGAACATTGTAAAAAAAAAAAAAAAAAAAAAAAAAAAAAGGGAATTTTTTTGTGAAAACTTTAAATTTTTTTTTTTTTTTTTTTTAATTATATAAAAACA